TATGGTCATACTGGCATGGTATTTTCAGCTTGAGGCTCAGAGTATATTGAGCACACAGTAATGGTTCAGTATCTTTAATGATTTTATTAGAAGGGTGAGATATTCTCTGGGATTTTTTTTAATTTAAAATTTTTTAAAAAGATTTTATTTATTTATTCATGAGAGACACACACACACACAGAGAGAGAGAGAGAGAGAGGCAGAGGCAGAGGCACAGGCAGAGGGAGAAGCAGGCTCCATGCAGGGAGCCCAGTGTGGGACTCGATCCTGGGTCTCCAGGATCACACCCTGGGCTGAAGGCGGCGCTAAACCGCTGAGCCACCCGGGCTGCCCTATTCTCTGGGATTAAAAAAATTTCGTGTTTGTCTAATGAGATGGTTTTGTTTTTATGACTTTGGATTTTTTAATAAGTATCTCTGACGTAACTGTAGCCTAGAGTAGTGATTTCTATTTCTCTTGCATGTTATTATTTGGTAGAGTTGATGAAAATGTTGTTGTTTAGGTCTTACCTCTGGAGATTGCTTTAGTTGTTCAATGGGAAATTCTGGTGAGCAGCCCGGGTTGAGAGCCTTTGGCCTAGTAGAGATCTTCTTTGATGAATTTTAGAATGAAAAATTATTTTTTAAAGACAGTATGTTTGTGACAAAATTTAAAAAATATTTTTCAGGCAGGTGCTTAAAAAATAAAAAATGAAGAATGTATAAAATAATATCATACATCTCCTATCTTTAAGAGATAGCCATTGGCAAGCTTTCCGTTTGTGCATTTTTAGTACATATGCAAACATATTTTTAAGCAAATAGGATCATACAGTATGTACCATTCTTTGACTTGTTTTTACTCAGTTAATATATTTTAGACATCTAGAGAAAATCATTTCTCATAAATAATTTTGTTCAAGGATTAAAAACAAAAGTACAGAAGATAATTTTTGAGCTACTTGGCAACGGGGGCTGATGAGAGATACAGATTGGGAGCAGGGCTATTTCTAGTATTGTTTGGAGGCCGAGACACAGCTCTCCAGTGTAACAATCCAGGCAAAATTCGTTTAGGATGAAGATTATTGGACAGATTTGAACAGAGAAAAATAATGAGAGGACTTTATAAGGTGTGCCCAGGAAGAAGGAATATTTCCTTTCATGAATGAAGGCAATTGTATGGATGGCAGGCTTCATAGTATTCTATTTTGTCCACTGTATTTTTAAAATTTTGTTTCGCATCTTGCTTAGCATTAGCAAAGTCTCCCTCTGGCCTAGCCTCCTTTCACTGTTGCTCAATTGCTGGAAGCTTGGATTAGGTGGGATGTGGGTAGACCAGGAGCACTGGGCCTGTGGATGTCCACGTTAGCTGGATGGCCTAGACAGTTTAAGGAAAAGTGGTGGTATCCCACGCCTGTCCTCTTAGCACCTGCCCTTCCTCCAGGGCTCTTGGACATCTGTTCTTGCTCTGCTCTTGGGATCCTGCAGTTCTCTTCACCTGAACTAACCCAGTAGGTTTCCTGTGTTTGCCAGTAGCGAGCAGGGCTTTAGACAGACTTGCTTATGCAGAATAGAACAAGATCTCCAGAGGCCCTGTCCACGGACCAGGTTGTGTGCATCTGCCAGGTAATTCACAACCATAGTGATAACATGAAACCTGTTAGTTACAGATATTCTTAGCAGAGGTCAGTTTTTTCCAAGATAAATAAATAAGATTGTTTTAAAAAGCTAGAAACATGAAAATAGATTTGAGTTTAGGTAGTTCATGCTCAGTCTGCTTAAGGGATAACCTGGCCTGGTCATTAGAGGACCATTTGAAGTTCTATTTTAGTTGTTTGATTCTTTGATATCTTGGGGCTTTATAAAACATTAAACATAAAATTTTACATTTTCAAATGATCAGGCAGATTTATTGTTGAGGCCAGTAACTGTGGAGTCTCTAGGCAGACACCATTACTTACAGTCTCTCACTCGTCTTAGATGGAGTCAAGAATTTTTTCACTCTTTTTGTATTTCAAGGACAGCAAAGAAAAGTGTTTTGTGGGACAAATCTGGTAAGCTATCAAAAGTGGGCTTGGGACACAAGGCAGACGACTGGCTGCTTATGAGTATGTGCCTATTGCTATAGAGCCTTTTTGGTCTCAGAGCTCCCTTGACGAAAATGCCCCCATGTTATTATTCCCTTATACTCCTACTTTTTAAGGATCACTTTGAAAAATTTTATCTTTTAAAATAGAAATATCTTCTGAGCAGGTTAAGCCTTTTTGTCTTTCATGCATTTATTATAAATTGAAGCTATTTGTTTGGGAGTGACAGCCTGAAAACACTACACTCCTGAAAGCTAGAAGAGAAAAACCGTAAGATGCAAGCTTCGTCTACTTTTCCTTAATGAACAGCATCTTTTTCTCTCATGCCATTGGAAGCATGCATGGTACTTCAGCAAATACTGGAAAATATATCCGATGTCTCTTTCTTCCAGTGTTTTCACATTAACTGAGTCCATTCTAAGTGTTAATTCTTAAGAATTTGGCAGGGTGAAAAGGATTTTATTTTTTACATCTGTTTTCTGTGTATCATTCTTTTTTAAAAAAAATAAACTTTTTACTTTGAGATGATTAAGAGTCACATGCCTTTTGTTAAGAAATAATGTGGAGAGAACCCATGTACCTTCTACCCAGTTTATGCATTGGGATCATCTTGGGAACCACAGTGTAATATCAAAACCATGATAGTGACATTGACCCACCAACCTTATTCAGATTTCGCTAATATTACTTGTGTATGTGTGTGTGTATTTATTATGTGTGTGTATTTATTTGTCTACAGTTTTGTCACTCATATGTGTATCCACCACTACAGTCAAACTATAGAATAGCTCCATTGCCACAAAGACCCCTGGTATTTACCTTTTTGTATCCACTCCTTCCTTCCTTCCTTTGTGAGTTTTTAAAAAGAGTTTATTTATTTGAGAGAGCGCACACAGGCGAGAGGGGCGAGGAGCAGAGGGACAAGGACAGGCAGACTCCCCACTGAGCCTGGAGCCAGACTCAGCCCTAATCCCAGAGCCCTGAGATCATGACCTGAGCTGAAATCAAGAGTTGGACATCTACCTGACTGAGCCACCCAGGCGCCCCACTTCACAAGTCTTTTGTTTGTTCCTCATTTATGGTCATGTTGTAAAATAATTACCTTTGAAATTTATATCTCTACTTTGAAAAGTCAGTTTATATTTTTTAAGTGTAGTTAAAAAACACAATGTTTACCATCGTAACTATTTTAAGTGTATGGTTCAGTAGTGTTCAGTACATTCACATTGTTGTATAACAGATCACATCTTTTTCGTCTTGCAGAACTGCAGTTCTGTACCCACTAAACAGCAACTTCTCATTTCTCTCTCCCCCAAGCCCCTGGCAACCATCGGTCTGTTTTCTCTCTATGAATTTGACTGCTGTAGATACCACATGTAAGTGAAATCATACAGTATTTATCTTTTTGTGGCTGGCTTACCTCAGTATAAAGTCAAGGTTCAGCCCTGTTGTGGCATGTGCCAGGGTTTCTTTCCTTCTTAAAGCTGAGTAATACTCCATTGTAGTAGGTACAGTCCACAGTTCATTTATTCATTCATTCGTTGGTGGACACTTGAGCTGTTTCCACTCTTGGTGGTTATGGTGAATAATGTTGCTGTGAGCATGGATGTGCAAATATCTCTCTGTGATCCTGCTTTTGCTTCTTTTGGATATATACCCAGAAATGGAACTACTGGATCGTATGATAGTTCTTTTTTTAAAGTTTTTTGGGGGAACTACTGTACTTTTCCATAGCAGCTGTACCATTTTACATTCCTGTCAACAGTATATATCTGTACTTTAGTGATGTTAGGACAAATACATTTTAATCTATTTTTATTCTCTTTATTTCATGACTGTTTTATTGACTTTTCTTTAACACTTGATAGAGAATACTAGCATGGATAAAAGATATTTTGCATTATAGAATGTTTGCATACCAAGGACGATCCTCAAGGTGACATCCAAACATTTTGGAGTCAGCTCTTAGAGCCATAAGTAACAGAAGACTTACCTGAACTAGTTTAAATAAAAAGGAATTTTATTGCGAGGAAACTGGAATGTTACATTGGAACTAAGGATAGTCCTATGGCAGAAATCACTGGAATAAAGGATTTGGTTGTCTCTTGTCTTTGATGGATCCATTTTTCTTTCATCCTGTTCCATGGCTCCCATAATGTGATAATGAAATGGCTCTTCACCAATCCTTCAGCTACTCAAAGACTGAGGTTCCCTGGTCCCAATCCAGAATTCCCAGGGAAAGGGAGTGATGGGCGTAATTGGATCAGTTGCCTCCTCTGATGTACCTCACCATAGGCTTGGGCAGGGAGATGGAGTGAATGCAAGGATGCAGCAAAGCCTGCAGGAGCTGTACGAGTTGATGAGGTGGGTGCAGGAAGGGAATGAGTGCTAGGGAGACAGAATGGAAGGTGGGCTCATCAGTCATAACCTGCACCAAAATGAACAGTAATTATGGACACATCGAAGAAAGAACAATGGAGCTTGCAAAGGTCTGGGTAAGGACTATTAAAATGACCTGAGGCAAAGAATAAAAAGAAAAATTGTGAGTGATACTTTAGTATGTAAAATTGAGAAAATAAAAAATCATATGTCAAACAGCAATTAATTAACTTTATTCCAAGAGATTTACAAATCTATTAGGGGTATGTTATACACATTAATGTGATTACAGCTATATGACAGAGACACTTAGAGTATATTCGAGTGTAGCCTTAATGTTCTGACGTCCTGGAACTCCTTCCTCATTGAGCGTTAGAGATGATGATTGTCATTAATGTTTATTTAGTGTTACTACATGTGAGGCACTGTACTGGGCATTTTTTATATTTGGTATTTAATTTACCCTTCCTCCAAACCGTGGGTGTGCACTATTTGCTAAACCGAATTTTCTAGGATGTTTTCGACAGAACTATTAACACTCTGCTTTTCCTTTCAGAGATGTGGTACTGGATCTTTCTGTGGGCTCTCTTCTCCTCTCTGTTTGTCCATGGTGCTGCGGGCGTGTTGATGTTTGTCATGCTGCAGAGGCATAGGCAGGGGAGAGTAATCTCGCTCATTGCAGTCAGCATCGGATTTCTGGCTTCCGTAACTGGAGCAATGATTACTAGTAAGTTGATTTTGTTTTGTTTAAGGACCTAATTGTATGTGCACTTTATTCTTACAGTGAATGTGACAGTAGTGTAATCTCCCCTGTAGGATTATTTTCAGCACTGATCACACTTCACCTGGAAGGTAAAGATCAGTTCACTTACTCATTGAACACATTGTTTTTGTACTTCTCTGTGCTGACTCGCTCTGCAAGGTTCGATGGGAAATAGAACAACTTGTAAAAAACTGCAAGGGGCTCAGAAACTCATGGGGACATTTATCTTCTAGGGGACATAGTTTCTGCTTTAAAAGAGCTCCCTATCTAAGAAGGGAAGGAAGTAGGCACACAAATTTGACAGTGAGAATTGTCATTAAAAAAGTGAAAATATAATCCATAGGTCCTTGATGTTACCTGCCTACGGCTACAAAATAAAAATTACACTTTCTTCGTGGATACAAAATGTTAGGACACAAATCTCCCCAACCTACTAGAGATTAGCCACTTGAGAGGATCCTCTAGCTACGTGCAGCTCTTCCCCTGTGCTACCCTGTGTGCACTTCATACAGTCCTCAGGCTCATTCCCTTTGCCTTTTCTTAACTCTGGACGAGGCCCCAGCTCCACCTTGGGTTCAGTGAGTTCTGGTTTCTGCTCTGCTGGCTGTGCCAGGACTTAGATGTGTCCTGCTGAGACTGGAGAGTGCAGCAGCCGCTTCTTCCATCTGACTCTGCCAGAAATGGGCTGCTTCTCTGTGCTGCTGCTGATTTCTGCCTGAGCCGGTGGACTGTAGAGGCTTACGTTGCCATTCACTTCTGGCCCACTTCCATAGGTCTGCAGCAGCTTGCTGCTGCCCCAGGAAGGACATTTCCCTTCTGGTTGGTTCGTAGCCTCCAGGATACAATAAGTCCTGTTCAAAGGCCTCCGTTTGTGTCGGGAGAGTCACTTTTTCCCAGAGGGACTGGTATACCTTGCCTTGGGAGGAGAGCCCTGTTCCCATGTCTCTGTGTCTGTCCTGTGGCACAGCCATGACATCCATAAAATAGTTGTGGGATATGGTGAGTCGTCTGTTTTTTTCATCCTTTCTTCACTCACTGTTTGGTGTTTCTGTGTCACTCTGTATTAGGTTTCTGTTGCTGCATGAGCCTGTAACCTTATCATACAGTACCTCATCCATTTTGCCATCGACAGGGTTTAAAACAAGTTCTCAGGTTTAGCCAAAGCACAGGGTATGCCTAGTGAAGGGATGGAGATTCAGCTGGAAAGACAGAGTGGAGCCCAGTCCTAGAGGATCTTGGAAGGCCGACCGGAAAATACGGACTTTCTCCCTGCAGGCTGTGGAAAATAGATCATTTTGAATGGGATTGGCAAGAGACAAAGCAGTCCAATGGAAAATTTCATTTTAATAGCTGAGTATAGGTATCCGTAAACCAAGAGAAAAACTCTGAAAGCACGGGGACTTCGTCTTCATCACTGCTGTATTCCCATCAACAAAGCAGTACTGGATCATAACAGATACTCAGAAAATACTAGTGGAGATGGGGCGGAGTGCAGATGAAAGAAAGGGAAAAACAAGGGAGGGAAGAAGGGAGAAGCAGGGGAAAGGAAGAGGCAGGAAGAGGAAGGAAGAGGCCTTGCCTATGATCTGAACTTGAAGCTGGGACCCGAGCTACAGTAGTGGCTGTGCTTGGACATGACCTAAGGACTACGGCAAAAGGAAAATATTTGAATTGGTTTTATTCACTGTGGTGGCCACAGAGAGGCTTGAAAGGGAGTGCCAGTGTTTTTGATGGGGGCCACTGTTGTGATCGTGGACACACCACGAACAGAGAAGGAAAGAAGAAACAGCCTCTTAAGAGGTTGTAAGTAGTGTGCAGATATGTGTATTTATTGACATAAATCATTGTAAAAGGTCAGAGAGTGGGAGAAATGTCATTCTACTTCTATTTATCTCTAATCATTTGTACCCATGTTCCCTAATTTCAAGTCGCCCAAGAATAAAATAGGCCAGTGATTTTAAATACTGCAGTGTTATAAAAAACATAAGTGTACATAATTTCAAGGAAAAATTTCTATCCAGGTTAGCAATAAAACATTTAAATTTCTTCTGGCTAATTTTTTGACATGCAGACACTTGAATTGAGAAAACTAGCCAAAATAAGAATATTTTAGCTATATTTATTTCTTAATGCAATTTGTGTCAATGCACTTATAGCTGTATACTCAAGTCGGCAAATGATTGCTTAATATCTATTTTGAATAAGAGGGTGACTGAATATAAATACACATCTATTAGATTTTGCTGCTACTTAGGTTTTATTTCCAACACAGTGATTTTTCATTTTTGTTGGTTTTGATAGTTAATACCAAAATTGGGAGAAACCAGGTTTCTGTATAGTGCCATCAGCTGGCATTATATGCCTGACTAATTTTAGCAAATCTGAAGGTATAAAATGACATCTCTTGGTTGGTTTAATTTGCATTTCTCTGATCACTAAAGGTTTTGAACATCTCTTCCTTTGCTTATTATATATTTAGATTTCTTTTTCTGCAAATTGCTTAAGTTACATACTTTTCTTTTGGGGTTCTTGCTTCCTCATTAAGTTATAGGGATTTCTTACACAGTAGAGGTGTTGGTCTCTTGGTGGTTTTGGACTTTGCAAATAACTTCTCAGTCTTTTATCAGTTCCCTTCATCTATGATATTTATTGAGCAGAAATCCTTAATTTCTGTGTAGTCAGCTCAAAGAGGTTTTTGCCTTATGGTTTATAATTTAAGATTCTCCCCCACACCAGGGTCAAAAGATATGTTGATATATTTTCTAATGTTGATTTTATAGTTTTACATTTCATGCTAAGTCTTTAATTCATCTAAAATAGGAGTCAGCAAACATTTTCTTAAAGGGCTAGTTAGGAAATATGTCAAACTTTGCAAGCCATGCGGTCTCTGTCACAGCTCTTCAGCTCTGCCATGGGAGTGTGAAAGTAGATACAGACGTGTTTTAAATGAATAGACATGGCTTTTTCTGATAAAACTTTATTTACAAAAACAGGTGTCCAGTTTCAGGCATAATTTCATAAATTCCTGATTTGTGCCTTGGTCTAGAGTCTAAATTTGTATTTGCTATTAGGTGGGACTCCAGGTATATTTATTTTTCTTCCCATGTAGTAAGTCAGTTTTGACCACACCATCCACTAAATACATCTGTAGTTTCCTCATTGATTCATCTTGCCTTGCATATTATGCTCAAGGCACAAGGATCTGTCTCTGAACCTTATTCTGATTTGTTAGTCTTTTTATGTGTTCTTGCAGCAAGGTCACATTTTTTTATCCATGTGGTTTTGTGGCCTTTCTTAATAACTGGTTGGGCTAGATCCCTCTCATTTTTTTTCTCAAAGTTAACATAGCTGTTTATGGACTTTTATTCTTCCACATAGATTTTAGAATATGTCTATTACATGTCTCAAAAATTACAACTATGATTTTTATTGGTATTTAATTGAAGGGAGAGGTTAATTTGGGTAAAAGTGGCATAGTAAACTGTTCCTCCTAAGAACATGTTATAGGTTTCCATGTATTCAGATAATCTTTTGTGTCTTTTGTTAGAGTTTAAAAATGTCCTTCTCAACAAGAGGGATACATATTTTTAGTTAATTCTTAATTTTTTCTTAGGTCATGGTGGTTGTTCATGGTATCTTTCAGTGACATCAGTTAGTTTTATTGGTGTAGAGAAACACTTCAGTTTTCTGAGTTGAGTTTATGAAAGATTAACAAAGCAAAAAACTCATTCTTTGGAAAGATATGAATAGATTGCTGGCAAACTAATTAAAAAAGAAGTTAAGGCAGAAAAGTAAAGCATAGACCAAAATAGAGTAAATAACTACAGACTCAATAATAGAGCCAGAATAAAGAATTGTAAAAATAACAGTTTTGCAAACAGTAATATATTCCTAAATATAAAACATCAAAATTGGCATAAGAAGAAACAAGATATGAATAGGACAAAAAATATATTTAAATAATTGAAGTGTTGAAGACCCTCCCCTCCCAAAGGAACTCTAGGCCCAAATGGAGTTTTTGGATGAGTTCTACCGAATTTTGAAGGAACAGTTTAGTTCCTGCCCAAATTATTGAGGAAAAGGGAAGAGTAAAAGCTGTTCACAGCTTATTTGCTGAGGTCAAAGTAATCTTGTTAAGATAAAAAGACTGTGCGGAAATGGAAAACTATACGCTCATTTACCTTTTGAGTGTTACTCTAGGAATGCAAAGAAAATTCAGGATCAGACATGACCATGACTGTGTGCCAATAAAACGTTGTTTATGGAAACTGAAATTGAAATTTTGTATAATTTTCATGTATCATGAAATACTTTTATTTTTAAAAAACCATTTAAAAACATAAAAATGGTTGTTTACTCCTGTGCCACCTCCATGTGCTGTGGTATGTAGGTTGGACCTGTGGACTATAGCTTGCTGGACCCTCATCTGACCAAACAGGCTGATAGAACCAACACTGTTCAAACCAAATCAGCCTTAGTCATCCTATCTGCTTTCTCTCAGGAAATACGGAGGGCAAATCAGATTGCTTTCATTGGTGTGCCATAGCAGGCCCTAGTCTCTCTTGACTTTGTAAGTTCTTATCTTTTCTTAACCTTGTCAATCAGCAGTGTTGCTTTCTCCGCTTCATCTTCACTACACCAGTGTTCGCTACTCCCCTGGTTCTAGGGGGAGGGGAAGGGGTCTTTCCTTATTTCTAAGTGATTCTTTATACCATTGTTGGTAGTGGCAGTTCCAGACATGCATCATTTCTTTCAAGCATCCTGTTCTGCTTGTGTCTTCTTCATTCTTGCCTAACTTAGCCTTGTATTTCACCAAGAAAATAAAGACCATAGTATTTGTATTCTTTCAACTAGCTAGTGTTCAGCAAAATCTACTACAGAGTGAAGACTACAAACTGGGAGGAAGATATTTGTTAATATATATAAATAGAAAAAGATTAATATCCAAACTATAATCTTAAGACCTTATGAATCAAATAAGAAAACTCAATAGAAAAAAGGACAAAAGATTTGACAGGCATTTCATAAAAGTAGAAAGCCCTCTTGGCCTCTAATATGTGAAGAAAACTTCAGTCACATGAATTATCAGAGAAATGCAAATTAATCACAGAGATGACAACTCTTATCAAATTGACAAGGATTAAATAAAAAAAACAGCTTCTTCTGAAGCTAGAGAGTATCTGGAATATAAATCAGTACAACTACTTTGGAAGCAGTTTGGCATTACTTAGTGAAGTTGAAAGTGCCTATAACATAACACTGAGCAATTCTACTTTCACCCATGTTTTGAAGAGAAATTTTTGACTCTGAATGGACCACGGGTCACGCACAAGAATGTTCACAGAAGCACTGTTTGTCATTGTTAAGGATTGGAAAAAAATGTTATTGGCAGTAGAATGGACAAATTGTGGTATGTTCATGCTTAGAATTCTGTGCAATTGTGAAAATATATGAATTGTAGTTAAAACAGCATGGGTAGCTTTCTGACCTATAATATTTGAGCCCAAATTCCAGAATACTTACAGTGTCAATTTACAGAAAATTAATTTATTTAAAAAACTAAGTAATACATATTCTTAGGATGCAAGAAGGTGGTAAAGCTGACAAAAAGCAAAGGAATGTTAAAAAATTCAGGGAGGGAATGGGACATAACAGTAGAGTCCATGGGAACTTCAAAGGAAATAGTGATGTTCTCTTTAGTTGGATGATGGTACTTGGGAATTTGTTGTTATTTTATACTCTACATATGTATTATTTATTTGAGAGTGAAAGTGGGGGAGAGAGGAGCAGAGAGAGAAGGAGAGAGAACCCTAAGCAGGCTCCATGCTGAGCACAGAACCTGATGTGGGGCTCAGTCCATGACCCTGAGATCACAACCGAAGCCGAGACCAAGAATTAGACCCTTAACTGACTGAACCACCCAGACATCCCTACAAATATTTTTTATAAATACTCTTTTATGTCTGCTCAATATTCAATAGCAGCGTTTCCAAATTTGTTTAATAGGCACACAAAATTGTTTTCTTGCAGATCTTTTAGATTGAAAGTTCCACTGGTATATAGTCTTCTTTGACCAGTGCTCCTGAGTGTGAAATCCTCAACATACTGGGGACTTGTGTAAATCTACTTTTTTTTTTTTTTGGAAATCTACTTTTGGAGGGCACTTGTAACTTCCAAAATGTTCCCTACTTGATTATCCACTGGAAAGAAAATGGTGGTTTGTTTTATTTTCTGTATTATACTACATAGACTTGGAGGGCTTGTCCTCTGCTCTTTGAAAAATTTTAAAGAAGAATGGGTTATTTAGTAGCTTTGTTGGGTTTTCCTCAAACAACAAGGGCCTTCCAGAGTGAAATAAATCCATTTTAATCACCAGACCAGCCAAATCCTAAATTAAGGCGTCAGCTTATTTGTGAAAGAAGAGGATAGTGGAGTGGAAAGGTTCTCAGTACTCATTTTCTAGTCCTTAAATCTCTTTCTTATTCTCTTCTCACTTTGTCTCTTAGGATGCTTTTCCATGGCTCCAGACCTCCAGTTAAATTCTAAACCCCTATGAGAGATGCCCCAAACATGCTTTCCTGGGTCCTCTACCTCCAGCCAAGAGGCCCCACCCTGAACTTCAAAGGCACAAAAATTATAAATATAATGAAAGTTTCTTGGAATTATAGGGAAATTTAGGCAAATTGGTGTGGGTATTTTTAGATTTTTAGAATTTTAATTACGTAAGTCATGTATGAGTATATATATTCTTGTAAAACTCAAAACATTATGGATAAGACAAAGGTCTCTTTTGACTAGCACTCCCAAACCAGTCCTCTTCTCAGTGTAATCCCCATCTGTAGCTTGTATTCCCCCCAGATTTTTATTTATGCATTACATTCATTCATATATACATATATCCATGTTTACATACATGCACACCTGCATATGGTGGATGCATGTTCTAGTAGAGAATATTATATATAGCTTTAGGGTTCATTTTCTTTGCTGCATAAATGATATGTTTTAGGTTCTTTCTGTGTCAGTTCATAAGGTTTTTATTTTTCTTTTGAAATTGTATGGGTTTCATGGTGTGGGCTTGATATAGTTTCCCCACTCCAGACTGATGGATATTGGGTTCTTGCTTTTGGTTTTGTGATGTTTTTGTTTTTTGCTATTACGAAAAGTACTGCCTTGGTTATCATACATGTGTGTGTGTGTGTACTCTGGACATGAATCAAGTATTCTTCTAGTCTGTCTCTTTATGGGTTTTGCCCTTTTTAATGTAGTTTTAAGCAGTCCCCTTTTCCTAATACCATAGGTATATTCTGTTCAGTTTGAAACTTTACATTTATAGCTTTGTTTTTAACATTTTGTTCTTTAACTAACTATCTGAAATTTATTCTAGAGAGTAGGGTGAATTAGGGACCTAGATTTATTCCTTCCAGTGGCTGCTAGTTGTTGCAATACCATTTACCGAAAGCTGAATCACTGATTGGAAATACCTTTCTCATTTACTACTATGACAGTTTACTAGCCACAATTTAGGGTACATGCTAGGACCACTCACTCTTCTAAGTAGTACCTCTTCATCTTCATGCCCACCTACTCTACAGTTGAGGAAATAAGGCACAGAGAGGTTAAGTGATTGCCCTGTGTAGCACATCTGCGAGGTAGTGGATTTCGGAGTTTGGACCACAAGTCTGGCTCTGTAATCCATGCTCCTCACTTCATAGAAGCATGAGGTGTTTGACCTGACACATTCGCTTACCATTGCCTAGGCAGCCTGAGCTAGCAAGTGCTTAGATTTTCCACATCCTGGATCCTTTTCGAAAACATAGTGCTGGCGAGATGGAGAGAGACCAAGTGATGTTTTTAAAATTGAAGATAGTCATAGAAACCTAGGGTAAAGCCACATGAAAACAGTATTTCTCAGGTTTATTTTAATATTTTCATTTTAATATTTCTAATAACAAAGTATAAGATCCCTGAAGTTTTTTTCTTTTTCAAAGATTTATTTATTTTAGAGAGAGTGTAGGAGAGAGCGGCAGAGGGAGAGGGAGAGAGAACCCCAAGCAGACTCCACACTGAGTGCGGAGCGTGAGTTGGGGTTCTATCCCAGGACCCTGAGATCATGACCTGAGCCAAAGTCAAGAGTCAGATGCTTAATCTCCTGAGCCATCCAGGCATCCCGGATCTTTGAAACTTTTAAAGGATGTTACCTAAATCTAAAATTTGAGGATATTACCAAATTATGATTTTCTGAATTCCTTTTCTTTTTCACTTAGTTAGTGCATGTGTGACATGATTGAAATGATTTGGGGATTTATAGCCAGACTAACCTAGATTGACATTCCCCTCCTTGTCCTTATTGTATTTCCTTGGGCTAGTAATCGAACCTCTCTGAACCTCTGTTTTTCTTCTTAGGTAATACTGCTCTGGAGTAGAATGTTATTCAAACAAGATATTTGTAAAGTTGCTACCAAGATACGTAGTATAATGTAGTAAACATGCAATACATTTTAATTTCTTTCTTAAAAATATATATAGATTAATAATTTGCTTTTTCCACTTATATCTCTTTAGAGGAACACAGTTACTTTTGTTTAGGAGATTTTAAGAGAACTACAGAGTTAATTCTTAGCTAATTTTTAATGAACAGATTTCTATCTCAAGTAATTGTCATTTCAGTGTCTCCGAATCATTTACTTCTGGTTTTGCTTTTTGTTTGGCCACATTTTCTAGGGGAAAATTTGAAGGCCATTTCAATCTGTGGGAACTCTAAATGTTTCATTCTATATAGTATATTAATAAGGTGAAGTGTTGAATCAGATGGGTTCTGAGACTCCTGTAAATCTGGGATCCTCGCATTCTCTGAAATGAGCGTTATCTAAACATATTTCCCAGATCAGATTGTCGGGTTCATCTTCCATTTTTATTAAATGTCAAGATACTAGTCTCTAACCTTACAGTTGTATGCTTTATTAAAAAAAAAAAAAGAATAAATTACTTTCTATGGTAGATTCCGAAATGTAATAGTCAAGTATCCTGATATTTTACATGACATTTAAGAATTAATTAAAAAAAATTCTTGAATAATTTAGAAACTGCATTAAAGTGTGTGGTTTTCTGTGCCTTGGTTCATAATCATCAGTATATGGAGTCGTGGCGCCGGGAGAGCTGCAGGGGCGGTTGTCCTGCCGGCGGGGCGGGCGGGGCGACCTCGGGCGACCTCGGGCGACCTCGGGGCTCCCTCCCGGGCGCCCAGGCAGTGACCGTGTCCCTCTGTCTGTCCGCCCCGCCCCTCGCAGGTGCAGCCGTCGCGGGCATCTACAGAGTGGCCGGCAAGAACATGGCCCCGCTGGAGGCGCTGGTGTGGGGCGTGGGGCAGACTGTATTGACGTTGATCATCAGCTTTTCAAGGATCCTCGCCACGCTCTGAGCCCCCGAGGGAAGGGCTTGCTTCGCCGGAGGAGGCCGATGTACAGATGCTCGGAAGGCGGCGTGGTCGGGTCGCGGGGCGGCGGGAGGCGAGGCCTCGCGCTGCGTGCGGAGACCGCCCCCTGCTGTCCGCTGCTGCACCACCGCCTGCACCTTACGTGCCTCGCCCCGGGCCGGCGCCGCCTGGGGACCCGGGGACGCGGGACCCGGGGGCCGGACCGGGTCGGAGCTGCGAGCTGCCCGCCCGCGGACGCGCTGCTGCGCACTGTCCTCCCGAGCAGCGCCGCGCTGGGTTACGGGACGCGCGGAGGAGGAGTTGATACACGTGCCAAACTCTCTCTCTCTCTTTCGCCTTTTTGTTTTGTTTTGTTTTGCTTGTTTTTGTTTTTTGAAAAACATTGATCATGTGGCAATTTGCAAGTGTAGATGTAGATGAGTGCTGTGAACCATATTCCACACGAATTCAGGTAACAGTGAGGTTTGGTTTTGTTTTGTGACACTAAATCCCGTATGAGTGCTGAATACTGAATCATTTAATATGCGGTAAATGCGCTTGGTTTTCAATGTCGAACGTTTCTGGGATTTAGGGCTTTAATATATGTAAGCATTTATTGTTATTTACTTTAATTTATGTGGAAAAATAATACTTAATGGCAAACTAGCTAAACTCTTTTAAGGACTCAAAGTAGACCTGTAGGATGCATCCCTTCCGCTCACCTAAATAACATTTCTACTAGTTTCCCTCCTACCTAACTACTCTATTGATATGAATTCAAAATCTCCTGTGGGTCACACACATTGACTGTAGTTCGTGTGTCATAAAAATATAATTTGAGAATTTTCTTATAAACTTTGTAAGAAAAAAAAGTCTGAAATGCATGTTGCATTCTTTGACCCTTCTAAAGAAAGTTCTTGCCATGTTTCTCATGGAGAAAACATCTTTATAACTAATATCTCGGTGGGATCATATTAACTTGTTGCATATATCTTGATTTTTGACAAAACATAAGCAGTCTTTCATTCTGGAGTATTACCTGTGTTTAAAGAGTGGCCTAAATTAGGCTGTGAAAACAAAAAGCCTCATTTGTAGATAAGTAACAAGTACATTATATAAGAAGAGTAATAAACTATCTTACGTTGGGCATGTGGTAACATAATTTTGCTAAGTAAAAATTGGGGAATATAGCAAATAATTTAAAAATTTGGCAATTTCAGCGGATTAGTACAGTGCTGATCATATATTAGAGTGGTCTGTTGTTCAGTTCTCAATTTGCACTGCTAATTAAGTCTACTCGAATTAGTGATGACATTTATTAGAATGAAAAAGTCCTTTGTACAAAACACTTGAAGAGGTTTTGACAAGATGTAGTTCTCAAGAGTGCAAGGAGTAAGGGAAAACAGAACCTGGTTGAATTTGTCTCCTACTGAGATTGTTTTAAATGCCAGGTACTCTTAGAATAAATGTGCTAACTCAAAAAGCCACTGCAGAAGATATGAAGTCAAGGGCAATCCAAAAAATAATCTGCATACTCTCTAGCCTCACTGTTTTATAACCTGATTTGGTTTAAAAAAAGAAAAAAGGTACATTTCTATTAGGTCGCATTCAAATTTAAGACCTTCATTACTCACACCATTTTTTTCTCCACCAAAAATCAGAATATATATAAATGATTTAACAATAGGGAGTTGGGGAAGAGGATACTTTTACCAGCATGGAAGCCAATTTTGGGGGTGGCTTGGAAATCTGTTTTTTTTAAAAAAAAAAAAACAAACAATAAGCAGCTATGCATCCCTAGAGATCTTTGAAGTAAATCTTAAAATTGACTATTATGTACAAGCCTAAAATTATTTTCATGTGTTCTTTATATTCCCGATGTTTTCCCAAATTAAATTTAGGCATAAATTTTCCAAGTCCATTTGATTTCTCCTTTTCTTTTAGACTTGAATTGTGTTCTTCCTTTATTTTGGCTGTTCTGTCGGTAATTTCAAGTGTTCATATTCTTTGAGAGGAGTTACCATTAATGTGTTCACATTGTTTCAGATCTGCAGTATGGATATTTATTTTAATGTATGGTTGTTTCATGATTTAAGAAAGTTATCATGGTAAGGGAATATGAGCACATGGTTTAGAATCCAAAATTAGCTGGAAAATTACCTGGACACATTAAATCCATCAATGTGTGGACCAAAGAGATTCTAACTCCTGTTTTTGCTCTAGAACGGAGATATAATTGGATGGTTAATAGTCTACGGAGTGTCCTGCAGCTATCTCCCCATCAGGTTGCATTATGTTATGAGTTTGTGTGTGTGTGTGTGTGTGTGTGTGTGTACTTTTAACTGTTGGGGGAATTTTTGGTTTCTTTGCGTTTAGCTCTTTTCATTGAGATTTTGTGCAACTGTCACTCTCTTGATGTTTTAAAATGCAGTTGAATAGTGTGAATCAATGAAATTGTCTTAAATAGCTATTTCTATGCCGGGATTTTTTTTTTTTTTTTAATCAGTGGTTTTCCTACAGAGTCAACAAATGCTTAATGATATATATCTACACACACAGATATATCATAATATATCTATATGTAAAGCTGCTATATATGAATATAATCTAATTGGAAAGCTTTTGTTCAGTGAACACTTTCATGTTCTAGTAGAGAATTTTATATATATTTGTTCAGTTGAATGATCTTTTAAATAAGGATGTTTGAGATTTTTGAATTTGGGGAAATTTTTCTTGGTTTATTAATGCTGGAGACCCTTGTTTGTGATATGACAAAAGCCCTTGTTGACGTGTTTAGGTTACAACTTCTTAAAATTTGTATGTGATTTAGCAGTAAACTTTCTTTGTGATAAATGCAGGAAAGAAGGGGGAAATCCTCTGGAGTTTATTCACTCCTTTATGTAAAGAAAATGTTTACTAAAATATGGCTAATGGTGAAATCAGTTCCCCAAAGAAGAGATCTATGCCAAAATGCCCAAACTAATTATCATTTAGCATACTGGTTAGAACTGTCCAGAGATCAGAATCAATCAGGGAGGCCCATCAAAGCTACAAATGATGCATAAAACTTTTAGATGAAGGAGGTACAAGTGATCTGCCCCATGGATGACTCCACTGGTTGCCTAAAATAAGGGCATTTTTAAATGGTGGCTCCATTCAGTGCCCACAGCTTAATCATTCTTACTTTAGATGTTAATGTGTACTGAACAGTCTTATAGTTTGTTACCCGATGTACTTTCTTAGTGTTTGCAATGTACATTTCCACTGCCTAAAAAAGCATAAGGGTGTTGTCTGTACCTTAAGTGAGAAATAAGGAAGTGAGCTGCACTATATATCATGCATTTGTGATATAAGGAACAGGGTTAAGTTAAAAATCAAAGAGTGTTGTTGAAAAGAACTTCAGAGAAGGTCTAATTAAGACACAGGTGGCGTTGCCATGTTACTCTGCCCACAGTGGCACAGGCCAACTAATTCAATTCTGTAAACATTATTTGATGGATCTACTGTTTTCAGGGTGCTGTACTGAGTATTTTCTTTAGTAAGTTGTACAAGGATGGCCGAGATGGATCCCTGCCCTTGAGTCCACCAAGAGCTAGGAAGGTGATTATAAATCATAAAAAGGTTGGGACACTTCATTTCCTGGTTCTCTTTGAGAGTTTAAGTCCTTTCCCCCCTGCCCCCAAATTTGGTTTTCCCAGTTTATCCACCAAGTGGACTTCGTGTAATTGGGATATCAGTATGGTGACATGGTGGACAGAATGCTAGACTCTGCTAAGCCAGCAACATCAACTCCAATCCAGGGCCTGTCACTTGGTGACGTTTGGTGTATGAATGCAAAGCAGTATGTATTTGGCAGTAAATGATCAATAGAAAGTCATTGGAATTTTTTAAATTAACTTTTAACATCAGTTGAATATGTCGTTTTGTAAAATTCATCCACTTTCTTCCATTTCCACATTTTCCCTGCACGTATTTTAAGAAGGAGACTAAACACTGTCTTTTACAATCTTGCTTCCTTCACCTCCTCTCCACCTCTTTATTACGAAAATCACCAGATTCTCCAAGACCACCTCTGGGAGTGGGTGACGGTGGAAGTGGTGAGGGCAAGCCGACTGTTCACTGCTAGTTAAGCTAGAAAAAGAGTGAGGGTAGCCAGCACTGACTCCTCTGCCTTATCCTGCTCACTTCCTTGGATCGTTCAGCCGACATGCATTGAATCTCCACGACATTTAACCTAACTATCCTTGTTTTAGGGATGGGAAAGCGTGTTCTCTGTGTCCACTTCTCTTCCGCCACCCTGGGCTTCAGGCTTCAGGTGTCGCATCAGTTCTGTAGGAAATGGAGCTGGGCTTCAGTGCCTACCACGTCCTTCCCTCATGGACCAAAGGTGCATACACCATACTTGTTTCTAACTTCAAGGAAACGCTGTTATTTTTACTTTATGTCCATGTTATAATTCACGAAGTCACGAGATGCTAAGAATATTTTCTGAAATATTCTGAAACTACTTCACTCTTGCTATTAATTTTTTTCCCCTCTCGGAAAGTCTTAATCAGAATCTCTTCAGAGTCCTTACTTGTTTGTAAAATGTGAAGAACATGGAACGTCACGAAGAAATTCTGGTAGACATAAATTGCAGAGAAGTTGGCACCACTTGCTGGGTAGCTGTGTAAATTGCTGTTTCTTTTAATAATCAGGGGTGAGACTCTCAGTGCTGAGGGCTAGTGATCCAATTAGTTGGCTCATAATTTCTCTTAACTCCTAGTCCTTTTTTATAGCATCTTGGAGGGAGAACTCTTCAGGTACAAAAGGACATTTTTTGATTAAAGATGATAAGGTTTTCTAACACACGGTAGCATTTTGTGGCAGCGGGAAGTTTGAAGGAGGGTAGTAAGAAGGAGGGTAAGGCGGGCAAGCCTAGGAGAACGTGAGGAAGCGCCCTAGGTGATGGGAATACAGCCTCCTCCTTTCATTAGGTTTGTAAAACTACACTGTGTGAGTATTTCTGCTGCATGTCGACTACATGCCGTTTCTTTGTGAGACTTAACACAGTATTTGCAATCCAATGGTGTGTGTGTGTGTGTGTGTGTGTGTGTGTAGTGTGATAGGTTTGCTCTTCTCACGGAGGGATCTCTGTTCAGTGTAGGCAGTACAGCATTTTTGAGGAAGCTACTAAAGTAGTTATCTAAAAAACATATGTGAATTTGTTTTGGGAAGGTAGTGCTTAATATGTAATGTATTTTCAGTAGATGTGGAGATGTACCAGTTAATACTTTATTAAATTGATGGAAACACCCAAGTTTCTGAGTGAACAGAGCTATGAACTGCAACTGTCTCCTCCTCCGTTGAGTATAGAGGACTCATCTTTAAACTCATTGCACATATGTTGAACTTACATAATAACCCTTTGTCGATTTTGAGCACTAATTTTTCAGCTTCTTAAAAATCTCCCTCTTCCTTCCATTCTGTTGTCATATGGTATAATTTAAACATATGTACAGTTTTTTGATAGACTCCGAAGTGCTGGTTTAGAAGAAAATGTTCTTAACACCTTATGGTTATGCAGCTATAATCTTACTGAAAAATAAATGCTATAGGAAAGTCAAGAGAGCATGAACCTCTTACATGCTTTTTTTGGATTATGTCCTGCACCCATATCCATGCCCCTTCACTGGTACCAGGCCTGTCCCTTCTTGGGGAATGTATTTAGGTATGTAACTGAAACTGGAAAGTGGTATCAACACAAATATATAGAAAGAGAAACTATAATTCATAATTACCATAACTGTAACCCTTTTTCTCCTAACCACATATTGATAATTTCCAAGGATCATCTCTTGTTTTAGATCCCTGTAATAAATGAATGTTAACTTGACAGTACTACTGATAATGAGAAATTTCTCTTGTTTGCACATCATCACTAAGTATCTTGGTGGAAGGACCGTTTTAAAGTTTTCTCCATAGAGAACAAAGTAGAAGCACTTGTTTGAAAAGTAATTAAAAATTATTTCCTTTCAGTACTGGGTGAGTTAATAGTCTGATTGTCGACACTTTCTTGGTATTTGTGGTATCAGATGCAATACACACACACACACACACACACACATACACACAGACATACAGACATGAGCTGTACACATTTAGATGAATAAATAAAATTCCACAGTATTTTGCATCTTAGTCTTATAAATTGGTGAAATTCATATGATTGTACCAGGAAGTATTAATCCTTGACTTTAGTCATCTTAGGATGAGAGCATCAACTTCAAGTTAATCAACAAAAGTGTCTTGATTTAAATAGCAAAAATATAGTTTACCCAATAGGTATTAAAAATTCACTTTCAAATTGTGTTAACTCTCAGATCACTGATGAATCATTTAGTGAAACAGTAGTTTTTAAAAGCTAAATGGTGCCTTAGTGCCTTGGAAGTTAAGATACTTTTGCAAAGTGAATTTGGCAGGATTCAGGATTGACACACTTGTCACTGGGATTTAGAGTTTAGGGACGATGTAATTAACTCCTTATGGTGAATAAAAATCAGCCATTTTGCCATTGACTCTGACAGATGACAACGACTTTCATCACCTTTTCATGATGTAGTATTTGTCTATATACTTTTTCTTTTTACAAATAAGTTTGAAATGGAGAAAAATGTAGTCAAGACAATTAAGTGTGGGATTTTAAAATTTAGTTTTGTTGTAAACTAGAAATTCTAGTGTGAACAGTGTTAGGTTTATACCGTAGTACAAGGGCAGACAGTTGTAACCTTTAGGAATATGTTTACCATCAGGGATTTATTTTTACTATAGAAATACTTAATGTACTGTGAAGTTTAAAGACAGGAAGAATAAATGTTGGACGGGGTAACGCACAAAAACATAGGCATACGTGATGAAGTACCCTACATTATGTGAACACAATTCCTCCCCTTCTGTTAAGACTATAAACTACACTGTATGAGTATGTGTACTGCATGTTTACATAATACAGTTTAATTTTGAAGGATTATTTTAAAAACTATGTTTATGTATAATACCTAACAAGCTGTAAATATTGTATACTATTGATTTTTAATTTTATATAAGCGATTTTTTTATTTCCCAATTCATGTACAAATCTCACTGTGTATATAGCATAATTTCCTGGAGAACACAAATTTTGCAGTGAACTTTAATTATTTTAATTGTGGTAAGCATCAGGTTAGCCTTAGGGATGTTGGTCTTTAAGTTATTTTTCACCACTCATTTTCTTCAAAGGGCAGCAATAAACATATGCAAGTTATTTTTGACTATAGAAAGTTGGTCTGCAAACACAAGATCTAGGTTGCAATTCATTGCTTTAAAGAAAAGATGCACAATTAGTATCATCCATTGTCTCACCACAGGACCGTTTCTGAGGTCCGTGTGTCTCTCTCCTCTTTGTAATATACAGGGTGAACTCTCTCCTGACACACACAAGACAACTGTTAACAGTGAATCCAGCACTTAAATGTCATTACACAGAATTTATTGGATTAAAAATTTGTAATATACAGTATTTTAATAAAATTTCTGTATTCAATTTCATGCACTTATATATAAATAAACCTGTCTTTAAAAGCTTTATGGGGTGTTTTGACTCTTGATGACATAACTTTTCAACTCATTTGCTGCAAACCCGAATGTTTTCTCTTACCCCTCTGTCCGTTTTTCTTGGCTGGTTTTACCTGTGGATTTTGGAAGTACTGCTGCAGGAATAAGCAAGAAGCCCAAAAGGTGAACTTGGTTGAGTTTATTGTTTTACCCAGGACCAATTGTAGGCCAAATAAACATCTTCTTCTAAGAATTATTGTTTTAAAAGGCATACTATCACTTTTATTAATAAATGACGACTGTTTATTGAGTACTTACTATCTGTTAGACGCTTCATATGTATTTTTTTTTCATATGTATTCTTTAACGCAGTGATCCTTCAAGTTAAGTGGATTACTAAGGTTTATGAAGGTAATCCTTTACAGATAAAGCATTGGAGGTTCTGAGCAGGTGAAAACTTCTCAAGGTCACACAGCTAATAATGCTGTGCTGGGGTTTTCTTACTCTCTTACCTGTGTATTTTCTCCAGTATGCCCTGTCAGCTTCTACAGAGCATTATGGGAGCTCCTGCCTGAATTATGATAAAATTCTCATTCTTGACCAAGACCAGATGGTGTTGTGGGGATTTGAAAAATTGTCAACTCAGGATTTGCAATTGTCAAGTTTATGAATATTTTGAATTTTGAATTTTTGTTAGGGATTTCCAGGGGCTGGTATTAGGTACTCAGGCTCATCTATTTTCCTGCCTGAGAAAAAATTGAGACTGACAGAGCCCAGCCCATCACTGCACTGTAATTGTTATAAATTATTCCCATGGGAATAAAAGCTAGGCAACTTTAAAAACTGTGCAAGCAAAATGGAAGTAAACACTTTTTTCCCCACATACATGGGCATGCTAATTACTGAGTTGAAATATAACTTCTTTTTTTCTGGGTAACTATTTCATTCAACCATAAGAATTATAAAACTATTATATTTCCCTTTCCTAAGTCTTAAAAAGTTCTTGAGCAAAATATAAATCTTGAGATTAAGAAGACATTTTCTCTTTTGCTTCTATTGTTTTTAGCTTTTGAAGTAATATTTTTAAATATTTTTCTAATGGGTAAACCATCTTTGTGTATTTTGATATTTACTGAGCATCAAGAGAAAATATCAAACTTCAAATTTATTGCCGCCAGCACAGAACAAGAGCAGAGGAAAAGGTACTCTGGAGGATGGATGTTCAGGTGTTACACTGAACTAGTTTCATGATGGAGAATGAGTCCTAGTCAGACTCGTTAAGGAAGAATAGCTGACTTACTGAATATATACTTATGCCATCTATGTTTTGAAACTGAACCCTTGTTAATTTACAAAATAGTACCTAAGTTTTAGGGTACAGGGAGAAAGGGAAATAGGACCTGGGGTTGATCTTTAAGGAGTAGAATTTGGGTTCATTTCTAGCTGCTGATGGAATCTTATCAGAAGAATCTTGACAGTAGAATCCTTTCCATTCCGCTGTTCTTGTTGAACTGCTGCTAATTTTCCTTTATTTGTTGTTATCAGACATCTTTCTTTTGGCCAGTTTTATGAACATTCTTCAGGCTCAGAGACTTCTGGGGACCAATTGGCAAAACAGAATCACCATCAGGTGGTATTCTTGCAAAGCAAGAGTTTCATCACTAGATGGCGCAATGGTTCTATTTATTTTCCGCGGCTTTTGACTTCGCTTTTACCTACCAATGCACCTACCACTCTGTAGGATACATCCAGTGTTTTTTTTTTTTTTTTTTTTTTTTGGATAAAAATACACGTGAGGAAATTAGATATGAGAAAAATCAAGAGCTACATAGTATCACTAACAAACTGAACTTTCCAAAGAATGCTAGTATTGTGCTCAGGGGTTTGCAAACAGCAAATCAGAAAAATCACATTAAGTGTATGATTTTGGTAAGTCATTAATCTGGACCTAGATTTCTGTGTTTCCCTCAATTTTTTTTATTCTAACTCTTACATAATTTTTAAAAATCTACTAGTTAATGCTTTAGTGAAAGTTAGATAGTTGGTCAACTTGTTGGATGAAAGGGAACACACCAACATCTTGCCATGGGCCTTGAATCATGAGACCTGCTTATAGATTCCTGCTCTGCTGCTTAGTATGTGAACCTGGCCAAGTTATTTTCCTTCTGTGATCTTCAGTTTTCTCAGTAAACAGTGATAGTATCTCATGCTGCATGTAATGTGTGTTCAGCAAATACTCGGTCCCATTGGTGGCTTTCTCTCGTGTCTTGTGTGCACGTGGAAGGATGATGTACTTCTAGACTATGACATACGTTTTGGTAGTAAGTTCGGATACCTCTGTGTCCAAGTCAGAGCCAGGTTCTGTTTCCACACAGTGCACAGTGTATTTTTAGAGAGGATTTGTTTCAGGTTTACACAGTCCCATTGAACCGTGTGCTGCTTTGGCAGCAGTCTGCTCAGGGAATTTCTCAGAGACATACCTCAGTAGAAGAGAGCCTGCTCAGAAAAAAGAATGGATAAACTTGCTCAGCAAGCGAATTCCTTGCATTCTGCAAACCAAATATGTACGAGATGAGGAAGCCAGAGCAGCCAACATAAATTAAGTCCCCCAACAATGGTTGTGACTCGCCTGTCAGCTGTGCACACAGTCCTCAGCACTTCAGATCCTGTTGCAAGTGGGCTTCTCGGCTTTGTTCTGCAGGGACAGCTTATGGTTCCAACCCAGAGAAGTGCTGGGCTTTGCAGCTCCAGGGATTCTGACCTTAAAAGCACAGGCCTCCTTACAGGGCGTGGCCTGTAGCAGCATGGAGATGACCATGCTTACACTCTGCTTAAAGAAATTGAGACCCAACTTAAGCAACCAGAGAATGTGCCAAACATTCTCACAGAACGACACCCCTCCCTCCTGTACCCCATTTTAAAAAATATTTATTTATTAATGAGAGACACACAGAGAGAGGCAGAGACATAAGCAGAGGGAGAAGCAGGTGCTCTGCAGGGAGCCCAATGCGGGCCTCGATCCCAGGACCCCAGGATCACGACCTGAGCCAAAGGCAATGCTCGCCCCAGGTGCCCTGATAAAATGCCTTTAAGAAAAAAAAAAAAATCAAAGCCATTTCTCTTGTTCAATGCAAGTATTTTATGGGCAGCAGTTTGGACAAGTGCTAATAAGAAGAACAGACCAGAAATGGCCACAGCAGCCTCCTTGCCTGGACTCAGGTAATCCTCAGGGGCGTGAAGAGATCCCCTTGAAAACTGATTACTTCGCAGATAATCTACAACTAGCTCATTCTTCTTCCACAATGCTTTGGCTTAAGACATTTTCAGGAAGGATGCAGAAGGCCTATATGTATTCAATTGAGATTTTAATAAAGAGTCAACCTGTTTTCTTCCATCAGAAATCTCTTCCTTGGGATGAACATTTTTAGTCATAAGACTTACACACCAGTGTTGATAGAATGCTTATGTCATTAGAAGTGCCACCATATTAACGTTTTCCCAAGAGTTAGCTTAACTAAACAGATTATTACTTTCGTAAATAAAAAAGTGTGATTGTCAGAGACTTTTGTTTCACCTTAACTGGCCCAAGGCACACCGCAAATTATCTGGACAGGAAAAATTGCCGAGTCAAAGCAAAACATTACGTCTTCCTAGACATTTTGCATCCAAGAGAGACCAAGGAAAAAGGTATACTTTCAGTATCACACAGATGGGAAGCAGTGTGTTAGGGACAGCTGTAGGTTAGGGCCTGCAATAATTATCGGGAGCTGACGCATTGGCCACGACAGGAGGAGTGGACAGCTTGAGTCAAGATTGAGTTAAAACACATCCACCCACGAAATCAAGGAATCTGTGGTATTTGAAACTGTATTGGGAAAAATATTAAAAGCTTGAACCAAAATTTAGATTACAATGGTGTTCATAAATAAAGACCAGCTCGCCATTATGTCAACCCACGAGAGGCAGAGATAATACATCTGTGAGTATCCCCATAGAATTTTTGCTTGACATTGAAATCTGCACCACTTTTACAAACATCCCTTTATATCTTAAAGCATTTCTCTCTCAAATGTATATAAACTTTGTCTTCATTCACCATCTCTGGAAGAGGGCCGGAGTGGTCAAGTGTCAAAGGATTTCTTTATATGCAGACTACAGAATTAAGAGAGATCAAGTAATAAGATTTTTTGTTGTTGTTTTTGTTGTTAAAACAGCAATCCTAGAAGTTTACAAAATAAGCCCTTGAAATAGATTCTGTGATAAGAGCACAGCTTCTTCCATAAGCTAAAATGAGAACAATCAAGCAAAAAATAACAAAGAATTGTTTTTTTAAAAAATACCCATTTAGTGTCTCTATTATTAGAAAATATCAGTTGTCAATTTGAGAAATGTATCAAGTCATTTGGTATGGCTCCAGTTTTTTGACGTGTACCTTAAAGTGTTCTATTATTATCTTGGCTGTGATTAAATCCAGCCTGGACTCATTTTGTCTGAAACTACCAATAACTTGGGCTTTTAATACTGTAAAAATTTGGCAAGTAAGGACCAAACTCTCTAAAATTTCCCAGTCTTTCTGCTTTTTGAGGCCACAGAGAAACATGGGTTTCGTGTAGATGTAAATAGCATTTTATTAACTGTGTTCCAAAGATCACTAATTGGGAGAGGCTCTTGAGAAAAAGAATTCTCTGGACAAATTAAATGACAAAACTTGCCTTCTCTATTCCTGACTCAGACAGGCACAATTCACACAAGCGTATCAAGGACTTTGAAAAGCTTTGAGTTAAGAACCCTATTTGGCTTTGTTTTGTTGCCATGAATTCTCTGAAAAGTTGTCCACGGCAATAAGAGAAATCTCACTAGCTGATTGTGTGGCCTTTTGGAAAGCATTTCCAAACTTATTTTTAAATTTCTACTTGCTGTGCCCATTCCAAAGATCTCTGGCTCGGTCATGCTAAATGTGAAGTAGGGTTTTAATATCAAGGTTAACCTAAGTGTTTAATCCCCACTGCCCAGACTTGCTCCTCGGAACTGGC